TCTGAACGTGAAGTAGAGAGGGCAAAGTGTTGTGACCTGCAGTATGGTGAGTGGCTGAGTGTGTTCGTGAGTGGCTGAGTGAGTAGCTGAGTGTGTTAGTCAGTGGCTGAGTGTGTGAGTGAGTGGCTGAGTGAGTGTGTGAGTGAGTGACTGAGTGTGTTAGTCAGTGGCTGGTTGAGTGTGTTAGTTAGTGGCTGAGTGAGTGGCTGTGTTAGTGAGTGGCTGAGTGAGTGGCTGTGTGAGTGTGTTAGTCAGTGGCTGAGTGAGTGGCTGAGTGAGTGGCTGAGTGAGTGTGTTAGTGATTGGCTGAGTGAGTGGCTGAGTGAGTGGCTGAGTGAGTGGCTGTGTTAGTGAGTGGCTGTGTTAGTGAGTGGCTGAGTGAGTGGTTGTGTTAGTGAGTGGCTGAGTGAGTGTGTGAGTGGCTGAGTGAGTGGCTGAGTGTGTTAGTCAGTGGCTGAGTGAGTGGCTGAGTGAGTGTGTGAGTGAGTGGCTGAGTGAGTGGCTGAGTGTGTTAGTCAGTGGCTGAGTGTATTCATGAGTAGCTGAATGAGTGTGTGAGTGAGTGGCTGAGTGAGTAGCTGAGTGTGTTAGTCAGTGGCTGAGTCAGTGGCTGAGGGAGTGTGTTAGTGAGTGGCTGAGTGAGTGTGTTAGTGAGTGGCTGAGTGAGTGTGTGAGTGAGTGTGTGAGTGAGTGTGTTAGTGAGTTGCTGAGTGAGTGTGTTAGTGAGTGGCTGAGTGAGTGTGTTAGTGAGTTTCTGAGTGAGTTTGTTAGTGAGTGGCTGAGTGAGTGTGTGAGTGAGTGTGTGAGTGAGTAGCTGAGTGTGTTAGTCAGTCGCTGAGTGAGTGTGTTAGTGAGTAGCTGAATGAGTGTGTGAGTGAGTGGCTGAGTGAGTAGCTGAGTGTGTTAGTCAGTGGCTGAGGGAGTGTGTTAGTGAGTGGCTGAGTGAGTGTGTTAGTGAGTTGCTGAGTGAGTGTGTGAGTGAGTGTGTGAGTGAGTGTGTTAGTGAGTTGCTGAGTGAGTGTGTGAGTGAGTGGCTGAGTGAGTGTGTGAGTGAGTGTGTGAGTGAGTGTGTGAGTGAGTGGCTGAGTGAGTGTGTGAGTGAGTGGCTGAGTGAGTGTGTTAGTGAGTGTGTGAGTGAGTGTGTGAGTGAGTGTGTTAGTGAGTGGCTGAGTGAGTGTGTTAGTGAGTGGCTGAGTGAGTAGCTGAGTGAGTGGCTGTGTTAGTGAGTGGCCGAGTAAGTGGCTGTGTTAGTGAGTGGCTGAGTGAGTGGCTGAGTGAATGGTTGTGTTAGTGAGTGGCTGAGTGAGTGGCTGTGTGAGTGTGTTAGTGAGTTGCTGAGTGAGTATGTGAGTGAGTGAGTGGTTGAGTGAGTGTGTGAGTGAGTGGCTGAGTGAGGGTGTTAGTGAGTGGCTGAGGGAGTGTGTCAGTGAGTGGCTGAGTGAGTGTGTTAGTGAGTGGCTGAGTGAGTGTGTTAGTGAGTTGCTGAGTGAGTGTGTGAGTGAGTGTGTGAGTGAGTGTGTTAGTGAGTTGCTGAGTGAGTGTGTGAGTGAGTGGCTAAGTGAGTGTGTGAGTGAGTGTGTGAGTGAGTGTGTGAGTGAGTGTGTGAGCGAGTGTGTGAGTGAGTGGCTGAGTGAGTGTGTTAGTGAGTTGCTGAGTGAGTGTGTTAGTGAGTGGCTGAGTGAGTGTGTGAGTGAGTGGCTGAGTGAGTGGCTGAGTGTGTTAGTCAGTGGCTGAGTGAGTGTGTTAGTGAGTGGCTGAGTGAGTGGCTGAGTGTGTTAGTGAGTGGCTGTGTTAGTGATTGGCTGAGTGAGTGGCTAAGTGAGTGGCTGTGTTAGTCAGTGGCTGAGTAAGTGGCTGAGTGTGTGAGTGAGTGTGTTAGTGAGTGGCTGAGTGAGTGGCTGTGTGAGTGAGTGGCTGAGTGAGTGGCTGAGTGTGTTAGTGAGTGGCTGAGTAAGTGGCTGTGTTAGTGAGTGGCTGAGTGAGTACCTGAGTAAGTGGCTGTCTTAGTGAGTGGCTGAGTGAGTACCTGAGTGAGTGGTTGTGTTAGTGAGTGGCTGAGTGAGTAGCTGAGTTAGTGGGTATGTTATTGTGACTTAGGTTGACTCAGCATCAATTGAGTACCCGTTGCGATGTACACACATTGCCACTGGGGAAACAAAGGCGGCCGGGAGTGGTGCTGGCCACCCACCCACGTGTGTGCCGTTCCAACCTTCATAGGTGTTCGCTAGCATCACTTTCCCCAACAGTCTGTTGAGGCTTATACAGGGGATCGTTGTTGTAACCATGGTAGTGGCGATAGAAGATTGATAAGGAGGTGAGGAGGTCGTGGGTTCGTTCCCGACACTGATGCCTGCTGCATATTTGGAGTTTGCGCGTCTCTCTCTCTCTCTGTGGTCACGTGGATGTTTCTCCGAGTCCTCCGGTTTCCCCCTCTACATTTAAAATCAGCATCACGCGTTTAGGGTATTTGGCCGATTATAAACGTCCACACGATAAGCCACTTCGTTGGGCCATCATTTGTCGCTTCTGAAAAAAGAGCTGTGTAGCTCAGTGGGCCTTACCCGCTAAAATGTTTACATTTTTTAAAAATAAACCGAGTGCCAGCGAGTGAGCGAGTGACCGGAGTGATTGGGCGAGTGCCGGATCACTCCAAGTCCCTCCGAGGCCTCTCACGTGCAGAGAGGTAGGGCCCCGAACTCGTGCCGTGGGGTCTCTACCGTGCACCGCTCGTCCACGGAGCGCCGACATCTCCGGCATAAGTCTTCCATCACAGTGGCGATAGCGACGACAACATTGTGGCTGGGAGCTTTCTATTTGCATTTTGTTACACCCCGGTGAAACGTGGGACATTCGGTCAACGTTGACCCAACGCTTGATGAACGTTTGGTGAACGTTTCGAACCACTTGCCAACGTTGGCCTAAAGTTCCATGTTTACTTGGACTGCGGTGCTGTGAAAACATCGGCTGATTTGATAAGTGTGACCTCTTCAGGTTTTCTGAACTGATTTGTGATGTTAGTATCTTCCGGGCTTGTCCCTCCCCCACCGCCCCCGTCATGGGAATGTGGAATTTCCAGCACTGATGTCAGGTCGCCAGCTGAGACACTTGTTATTATTGTGACTCCATTAGCAATGGGTTGTCTTGTATGGATTGCCTGGCACTGTCATTGGAATGTGGAATTGTGACCATTCGCCATTCCAATGAACTGTTATTACAGCAATCACAGCGGTTAATGTTTGAGGTCTGGTTAAACCATAAGTGTAACTCTAACCATATCCCTATTGCCTAACATGAGCCCTAACTTTAACCACAACCTTTACCCTAACCCATCAACCCTAACACCTAACTCTAACCATCACTTTACAACTATTAACCTCGTTCATGGCACTAACCAATCACCCCTTACTCTCACCCTAGTCCAATTGTGATGACCCATTTTAACCACCAAATTTGACTCGAACCCTTACCACAACTCTTGCCAGCGTTAACCACACAGTCAACATTGATAACATTAACGTCCTATGTATCTACCAGTGGTTTTTAACATTTACTGCAGCCTTGCACCCCTTTGGTTTTCAACCGTTAAACACATGTACAATGTACAATGTTAATAAGTTCGTAGGTTCGATGACACAAAGTCGTTGGACCTACATGCCCGTGCCTTAGTTGTGTTTCGATGATTTACCGTCTAAGCAAATCTGGCCATGCCTCGCATCCCCCATGAAGAGCATCTCGCACCCCCAGGGGGTGCGTGCACCCCAGGTTAAGAACCACTGACATCTAAGAAGGCTTCATTGAGTCTCGAGACTCATTTTCAGGAGGATCATGCCTTGAGTTGTTTGGCCAATTTCAGAAAACACCCCACGAGCCTCTCACGGCGTGGGGAGGCCCTCATCCAGCAGCGGATTTACAAAACGGGATGTAAATCGTAATTATAATTTTTGGTAATGAATGGAAAATAAAAAATCCGAGCCACAGTAGTGCGTTTGCGGTCATGCAGCCTACACTACGGACCACACGGCAAACGTGACCGTGGTCAGCACTCCTTCGACGGAAGAGGAACAACAGAGCTGACAAATACTTTCTCTCTCTCTCTCCTGTTGCCCTCTCGTCGTGCCCAGCAGTAGCAGCGGTAGACCTCGACGTTGGCGTCGAGCTCCGCAACATCGAGACCACCCTCATTAGGAAGCCACCGGAGCTATGCACTTTTAAATCGCCTGAATTGAAAACTCATTTCGTTGTAGAACTGTTTTTTGTGTTTAGTTTGTTGTCCTTCCCCACCGCACCACCGATTAGCACGGTTGTCTACGCACGGTGCGAAAGAAGTCCAACATGCACACACGCGTACATCACACACGCGTACATCATGCGTACATCACGCGTACATCACGCGTACATCACGCGTACATCACACACGCGTACATCACGAGTACATCACGCGTACATCACGAGTACATCACGCGTACATCACGCGTACATCACGAGTACATCACGCGTACATCACGCGTACATCACGCGTACATCACGAGTACATCACGCGTACACCACGCGTACACCACGCGTACACCACGAGTACACCACGCGTACACCACGAGTGCATCACGCGTGCACCACGAGTGCACCACGAGTGCATCACGCGTGCACCACGAGTGCATCACGAGTGCATCACGAGTGCATCACGCGTGCATCACGCGTGCATCACGAGTGCATCACGAGTGCATCACGCGTGCATCACGCGTGCATCACGAGTGCATCACGCGTGCATCACGAGTGCATCACGCGTGCATCACGCGTGCACCACGCGTGCACCACGAGTGCACCACGCGTGCACCACGCGTGCACCACGCGTGCACCACGCGTGCACCACGCGTGCACCACGAGTGCACCACGAGTGCACCACGCGTACATCACGAGTACATCACGCGCGTGAACAACAGAAGGGAGTCGCCACGCGACCGCGGGACTAACTGTTTGCGCGCCGTGTCTTTCCGACCCCACAGACCCCAAACGTCCGAAGTCTGACCCCAGCACCGCCGCGCTCCACGGCTCGTCCCCGCGACTGGACACCCCGGCCTGCACCGACACGGACTCGGCCACGGCGTCGTCCCCTGACCTGCTCCACCCGCCCACGTCCACCCTCTCGTCCCCGGAACTGCGGCCGCCGGCGCCGGCCTCGTCAACCTCTCCACCCCCTCACCCTCCCCAACCACCTCACCACGGCCAGCCTGACGGACTCGTCGTCTCCTCGTTAGAGGCCAGACTCATACAGGCGGCGGCGGCAGCGGCCGCGTCGTCGTCATCGTCGTCGTCCTCCTCCTCATCCTCCTCGCTCCTTCACCTCGTTCAGCGGCCGGCGTCCGCGTCGTCCGGGGCCGAGCGAGCGACTCCCGGGGACTCCACCCCGGCCGCCGCCTCGTCGTACCTCCCCGCTTCCTCTTCGCCGGTAATCATCGGCAAGGATCTCTCCTCTGACCTCAACCGTTCACCGCTCTGCTCCGACAGCAGCGGAGGCGGAATGGTCGTGGTCAGGGACGAGCAGGCCATCATGAGCCGGGCCTACCCGTGCCGTGCGTCCGCCGGCTCCTCTTCGTCCTCCTCCTCCTCGTCGTCGTCGTCGTCGTCCAACTCCGCGCCGTGCGCCGGCGGTCGCGCCCAGCTGGAGCTGCTGAGCCGCGTGTTCCCCACGCACCAGCGCGACGCGCTCGACCTGGTGCTGCAGGGCTGCGCCGGGGACGTCCTGCGCGCCATCGAGCAGATCCTCAACCACCGGGACCTCGACTTCTTCAAGGGCGCCGGGGCCGGGGGGCCCTCCAACGCCGTCAACGGCGGGATGGGCGGCGGCGGCGCCGGAAATTTCTCGCCATTGGCCGCCGCCGCTGCCGCCGCCGCTGCCGCGTCGGGCCATCTGCCCGGCGGCGTGGGCACGGCCATCCCCGTGTCCCTGCACGGCTCCCACGCGGCCATGCTGAACGCGCACCACCAGGGGATCGTGGCCGCGGCCGGCGGCGCGGCAAGCGGCGGGGTCGGCGGCTGCGGCGGCGGGGGCGGAGGAACGATCGGCGGCGGCGGCGGCGGCATGAGCTTGGGTGCCACGGCCACCTTCCCGGGGCTCAAGTCGGCCTTCTCGCCCCTGCCGTCGCGGCTGGGTCCGGACGCGTCCGCCTACTCCCTGGGGGGACCCCCGCTGGGCTTCAGCCCCCTGCGGCTGGCGTACGCGCAGGCGCAGGGCCGCGGGCTGGCCGCCGCCTTCATGAACCCGTACTCGGCGGCGGCCGCGGCGAGCGCCCTGCTGCCCCACGTGGGACTCAGGCCGCAGCTCGAGTACCACCAGTTCCTGCCGCACGTGCAGGGCTCGGCGGCGGCGGCCGCGGCGGCCGCGGCGGCAGCGGCGGCCGCCGCGGCAGCGGTCGCCCCGCACAAGGAGGGGGGCGGCTACGTGAACGGACTGCACGCCGCGCTAGCCGCGAGCCATCAGCCGCCCAAGCAGTAGCGGCGGCGGCGGTGGTGGGCAGCGGCCGTGCTGCAACCTTCACCCCCTACCCCGTCGCCCCATAGTTCGTCGTGAAACTCGGCAACGTAAATGAAAGTGAACATGTAGACGCAAACGTTCGTGTGTACAAATGTGTAGCCCGATGCTCCCTCCCCGGACCGCGCCCCCTCCACCCCGCCGTTCCCCCGCGCGCTGTGATTGTGTTGGTTGTTTGACCATACTTCACCGCGCTGGTCAGTACAGGAAGGTGATAGGAGGGAGGGATTGAGGGGTCAGCCGAGGACCGCTTGAAGCGTCAGCCCGGGTGGGGAATCGAACCCGGGCGGCCGGGTTCTCATGTCGAAGCTTGCTAAGCTGCTGCCCTACCGCTCCCGTCCCCAACGCGGCACGTGAACATGGTGCGCTCGTGTTTGGTCCGGTGTCCACTTGGGTGAGTCTCATCGGCAGCCCCAGGCCAGCTAAACAAATGATGTTGTGTAAACCCAGACGCGATTGGTGTTGTCTCAACCCAGACGCGATTGGCAAGGGCACCCCCTTAAAGGTGTGGATTCCGTTCAGCGACAAACATCCAAATTGAGATGTATTTATTTCAACACAACGCAGTTTTAGGAACATAATTATTACGAACCATTAGCGTTCATTCATCACGCATTGCTTCCTTCTTCCTGCTCGACCTCATAACTTTTAGACTAAACTAAAACGAAGCTCTTCTATTTTACCAGGTACGGCCCACTGAGCTGTTTGCTGTTTTTCAGAAGCATGTTCATTCTAAATGTGGAGGTAAAAACCCCCAGAGCATTCTGGAGAATATCCACGCGACCATGGTCAGAGAGAGAGAGAAAGAGACATGCAAACTCCAAATATACAACAGGCGGTCAGGGTCGCGATCGAACCCACGAACCAACTGCATACCCGGCGAGGGAGATAACATCTCACGGCCACGGCGTATTACTCAATGCATACATCGTCACCACCATCACCACCATCAGCAACTGCCTCTCGGTCTCGCATTGGTCTCCGACCTCTGGGTGTCACTGCTATCTCTGGGTCGCCTCCCACCTCTTTCGTCACCGCCTCCATCTGTGACGTCGTCGCTGTCGTCTGCCTGCATCACAAGGGGGGGGTGTACATTGAGAGATCTGAGTGGCTCTGTGTTGGTGTTGTCGTTGTTGTTGTTGTCGTCGTGGTAGGTGTTATTGTCGTGGTGGTGTTGGTTGTGATTGTGGTTGTTGGTGGTGGTGGTGGTGATGCGAGGCTGATTGCGATGTCTGATTGTAATGTCTGGGCCAGTTATGTAGAAACGCACTCGAGGGCGCATGAATAAATGAATGAACGAATGAATGTGGAAAGGAATGAATTAATGAAAGCGACGGCCCAATTAGCGCGTGGACGAATGGAACGGGATACGTGGACGAACGGACGATTGAATGAACGTTTGCACGAAAAACGCACGAACGAATGGAACAACGGGCATTGCACGTGCGGGACAAATGGGGGAATGAATGCTGCTGATGCACGAACGAATGTGCGCACGTGCACACGCGAAAGGGAATGATTCGCGCACACACGAGTGGGTGCACGGGCGAACGAAATAACCGATGGAGGAATGAATCGAACGCATGGGTGAACGAATCATCGCGGGAACGCAGTCGCCTTCTAACATGGACACATACCACACACACAGCAAACGCACGTGCTTCAATATGCTGCGCATAACGTTGCAAACACGTACACACAAAAGTCCCCGGCATAACCTCAACAGACTGTGGGCGCAAGTGCTGTTAGCGAGCACCCTATGAAGGCTGGCACGGCACAAGTGGAGGGTGGGTTGTCAGTAACACGCCCGGCCGCCTTTGTCTCTCTATTGGCGATGTTTACACACCGAACCAGAAACTATAAACTATATATCCACAAATAAATATACAGTACATACGCGCGCACACACAAAGATATACTATATATACACACATACACGTGCACACACACACATGTTCTATACATATACATGCGCATGCACACACACAAACATATACTATATATACATACATACACTTGCACACACATACATATAATATATATATACACATACGCGTACACACACAAACATACCAATTCATATCCTATATCGCAATACACATGTATTCATACTCGAGGAATCCGATGAGCTATGAAGCTCATTTTCACAAATGTCCAGTCGGAGCAGCGGGTCAGAACGTTACAGGAACAACAACAAAACGATGCACATACAAACTCATCTTTACACTATTACACACGTGTGTGTATAGTATGTGTATATAATTACACGCGCATGCATACACATACATACATAGAAACATGCACTTACTTTATACACAAAGACAAAGACCCCCCCCCCTCCGTATAGTCTGGACAGACTGTAGGGGCAAGTGCTGTTAGCGAGCGCCTATGAAGCCGGCACGGCACATGGGGTGGGTGGCCAGCACCACGCCTGGCCCCCTTTGTCTCCCCAGTGGCGATGTTTACACATCGCACTTGGTACTCATTTGAGGCTGAGTCGACCGAGGGGAGGCACATGACTGGTTCAGATAATCGCCACTGATGTTGGCCGTGAGCACGAATCGAACTCGGGTCGCCAGGTTCGGAGTGTAGTGCGAGAACCACTGCACCACTGCTCCCCATACACACATGTACACACAAACACACAAACACGTACACACGCATTCCGGATGATTTGGGCAAATGCGTGCGTATATGTAAACATCAGCACTGGGGAGACAAAGGCGGTCGGGTGTGGTGCTGTCCTCCCATCTTCAAAGCACTTGCCCCATCGGCCTGTGTAAGCTACACGGGGATATTTGTCTTTGTACTGTGTATACTTGACGCACAGTGTACAATACAAATCGTATCTGTACATAACAAGAGCAACAACGTCTACACTCCGATGTGTGTTACGGGATGTACCGCGTGTTCGTTCGGCCATGGTGCCCGACGTTTCGGTGCCATCGGGAACAATTCGACACACGGTACAAACCCCTCGCTCGGCAACCCCCGAGACTCACGTCGCCATAGCCGCATGCGGCTCTTCGGCGACTGATCCGTCACCTTTTCTTGCCGAGGACAACACCGTCTCGGATTCACCGCCAGTGCGTTTGCGGCTCCTAAAATGTCGATGGTTTTTGTTGTTTGTTACCGAGTTCGAAAAATAGTTTTTGGCTCGTCTCGTTAAATCTTGACTTAAAGCTTTCGTGACTGCAGGAATTTATATTATCTGGGTCTTTCGGTAAAGTCACGTAGATAGGCTATTTGATAGATAGATTCTTTGAAACTATCTATCTTTGAACCTATCTACGTGAATTTACCGAAAGCCCCAAAGAATATCTTCTCGTTAATTTTGGCTTTTTCCGACCCCTGGAACAAAAAACGCGGACGCATGCCCGAGACGAACTGCGTAGCCAAATGAACACTCCGCACAACACGGGGACACGCGCGCTCGACGGAACGCACGCACGAGACGACGCTTTGGGGCAAGAGGAGCCGCACAGCATCACGCACGATAGGGGGACGGCTGCGTGGGGGAGACCTCGACACTTGGTGGGTGCATTTGTATCGGAACACGCAATGGACAATCCATGATTCAACCGTGATTCGGCGTTGTCAGTGGTGCACAATTAACACAATTAGCACCAACTCAACATATCCAACTCAACAATTTCGTCAATTACACTTATGTGGTTAAAACAAAAAGGACACGTGGATAATTATCGGGGTAGAGTGACTCTCGCACATCGGCCAGAGAGATCGAGTGTCTCTACCTCTAGAGTGACTCCACCTCTCTGGCCTATGTGCTGTGAATAAGGGTCATTACCCGAAACGTCGCCTCCTATATAATTTGTTTTATTTTATGTTGAACTCGACAATGTTGGCGACGAAAGTTTCCTATAAATTGATGTGCGTCAATAACAACGCAGTGTGTGGCCTTACAAGGAATATATAAATAATAGACGACGTTTCGGGCAATTGCCATTTTCCATAGGTGCTATGAAGAGGGGCCATTGTCTGATGGAAATATACAATAGGCGACGTTTCGGGTAACGGCCCTTTTCCATAGGTGCTATGGAGAAGGGAAATATACTTTTTTCTTTTCAAGGTCACAAGTATCAATGCCACCGAGTTGTCGTACATCTTGCCATGTGTGTAGATGAAGAGAGACACCACATCCGAACAGTGCCCGGTTGCTTCAACAGCACAGAGCAGCGCGCGCCGCGCGAACAGAAAGACGCTGCGATCCCGTCGCATTGCGCGACACCGGCACCGGTCCCCGTTGCCCGTCGCTTGGGCACCGGCGCTCAGTTGTATTTGGTGGCGATTTAAGACGAGGTGACCAACAACGCAGTTCTTCAGGAACTGGTGGTTTTGCGTCGCGCGCAAGGTTGTACGTTGTTGCGTGTTGCTGACATCACGTGTGTGTGTGGGCTGGTGGATGTGATGCGTGTACGCGTGCAGGGTGTTTGTTTGGTGAGCGTGCATGTGGGGTGCGTGTGTATGTGTATGGTTCGTGTGCGGTGTGCGAGTGTGTGCGTGAGCTTGTGTTGGGGAGCGGTAGTGCGGCGGTTAGCGCTGCGCTGCGAACACGGCGACCCCGAGTTCGATTCCCGCTCGAGGCCAGCAACAGTGACGATTACCTGAACCGGTCCTGGGCCTCCCCTAGGTCGACTCAGTCTCAAAATGAGTACCTGGTATAGTGTGTAAACATCGTCATTGTGGACAAAAAAGCGGCCGGGCGTGGTGCTGGCCACCCACCCCCTCCAGTGCCGTGCCGGCCTGCATCGGTGATGCTCGCTCACAGCACTTGCCCCAGCAGTCTGCTCAAGCTATACGGGGGATCTTTGTTTATGTTTTGCTTTATGCCCGAGCCAGTCACACAAAGAGCACCACATGGATATCTTACAACCCTGTTATAATAAAAAAAAACATCTGAATCATGAATACACTATATCATAATCTTATTTCACGTAGCGTACAAACATACACCACATTCCACTTGTCTGCTGCAGGCTCGTGAACGGAGCTCCGCCACCACTTGCCATTATTTGTCCAGACTTTACGGCCAATTCCTACGTCTCAGCCGGGCATCGCAAGTCATACACCTCGGTTTAGATTCCCCAGTGAACGTTGAATGTTGGTTCAACGTTCAGGTCAACGTTAGTCCAACCACATGCCAACGTTGGCCCGACGTCACCCGAACCTTACTGGGTTCTTCGATTCGATTTTTTTTACTGAACGTAGCTCTGTTATGACCGCATCTCATTTCCATACCTGTCAAGCCCTTATCAGTGCCCTACCTTATTGCAGACCAACTCAGACCTTATTGGTCACCCCGTGCCCTGAAAGATCTCAACGTTCATCCTACAAAGTCCCATCGCAAGCGAGAAACACAAACAAATAGACCAGCACATTTTTGTTAGCCCGTAATTGAAACGGCTGTACGCCGTATGGACCTGGAAACTCAACTTCCCTGTGCAGGAATACGGAGTAACGGGTACGGGTTAGAGACACGGTGTGTGTTTACTTCACGTGCGGCGTCTTGAATTGGTGAACTGAGCTCACACAAAGACTCGGACCCCCCCCCCCCGTCCTCCCCCTACGATATCCGCACACGCTCTGGGGGGAGGGGGGGGGAGTTCCGTTCGCAAGGACCTCAAGGCGCGGCCGTCTTTGTCTCCCCATTGTTGATTTTGATTACACGCACCACGACCGGATGCGCGTGCACGGCTGAGCCGACTTGGGAACTGAGTGTCAGGGCCCGGTCCTCGCAATCGACACTGACGTGAGCCGTGGTGGGGAATCGAACTCGGGCGGCCGGGTCTGGAGGTCCGCTGCGCTAAGCCCTGCGCCACCGCTGCCGGACCTCCAAACACAAAGCCGTAAAGACAAAGGTCCCCCGTAATGGATCTACAGACTTTTGGGGGCAAGTGCTGTTAGCGAGCATCTGCGAAGGCCGGCAGGACACACGAGGGGGGAGGGGGGGGGGGTGGTGGTCGGTACCACGGCCCGGACGCCTTTGTCTCCCTAGTGGCGATGCTTACACACCGCACTAGGTATTCACTTGAGACTGAGTTGACCTAGGGGAGGCCCAGTACCGGTCCCCACACACACACGTGCGAGGATCTTGTGCACACCGTACCGTACGGCTGACGTCGGCTTACTAATCTCAACGTGAATAGCGGGGAGTGTTGCTTGTTAAAAGGTGGGTGGGGGGGGGACATTCCCACCAACTCGCCATGACCTCTCCACAGCCCGGGTTCGCGATCGAGCGACCAGTCGCAGCCACGGCGATCAAATCGGTGTCACGCAATCCTCGCAACCTCATCGTTCGCCTGCAACTGCTTTGTCCGCCCACGCCCCAGCGAGTAGTTGCGCACCGCGGAAACCGAGCGGCGCGCTGAGCATTGTAACGCACTCTACTGTATGTATGTTTGTTGAACTTCTTTCGCACCGTACGTAGACAACAGTGTCGCAGCCCAGTCATAGCTGCTTGCTGCCTCGCTGCTGCTGCTTCCGTTGCTGCCTTCCAGCGTGTTCCCCTGTGGGTTCCCTCTGCGATTGTGAGATGCAATTTGCATGAACGACGACGACGATGCTTTGTGCATACAGACCTGAACGTTGTAATCATCATCATCATTATTATGGAATACGTCGCTACGGGTCGCTGAGCGGAGATCGATGCTTTGAAATGCGAGTCTCGACTGTGAGACGTAGCCGGTTTGAGTGTCGATTACAGAGGCGTGCAGGTGTGAGCCCGGCTATAGAAGACCGGCAGGGCGCATTGAAAGGGGTTCAAGAATGAAGCGAGAGACTGGGTGCCTGGAGCATGACGAACCCAGTAAACATGCGAACGTTGAGCCAACGTTGGCGCAACGTTGGCATGTTCATTGGGTGGTTTGGAGGTTGTACGCACCAGAGGGCGAACGCATTTGTCAAGGCAGTTTGCGAGTCGGTTGCATAAATTCGTGGAATTTTGCATTCATTCTCAGGCAGTGGCAGATGAATCTTCAGGCGATGTGAGTTGAATTTTTAGTCAGCGTCAGATGCATATTCAGACAGTGTCAGTGAGATTTTCAGGCAATGTCAATTTAAATTTCTAGGCAATGTCAATTGAAATTTGCAGGCGATGTCAGTTGAATCTTCTGGCAATGTCAATGGCATTTTTTTTTCTTATTTCAGTTGAATTTCCATGCAGTTGTCAAATACATTTTAAGACATTGAACCCGCATTTTGAGTCGTCCTTGAACCTCCTGAATAATTTCAGGTGCTTTCCCTGAAATGTATTTTTAGAGTGTGTATATATACAGTATATATATCATGAATAAACAAATAAAACACGTGACGTACAATTACTGACACGCAAAGGTCGGAATGTTTATTTTTCATTATAAGCCGGGTCTGTAAATCAAGGGACAACCTCCTACAACAATATATCTCATCCGTGTACTCCGCTGCGTTGTGTTCATTATGTACATAGTGCCTGTGTACACATTGTGTCGACGGTGATGATGACATTCCACGGTCGGTGATTAAAATAAATGACTATATAATTCGGAACTTACGCTCTAAATACCGCATATGAACGTCGTTTTAGGTATATTTATACTCAAGTCGTGTTGCAAAAGAAATTACTGAGATGTGTGTGTGTGTTTTAGCGATGGAGAAGTTACGATTTTTCAACGTCCCCGCGTGTGTGTGTGTTTTACATCTCTCTATAGACCAGGATGGATCGCGCACACACACGCGCACGTACATTCACGAAAAAGCCATTCTGTATATAAACAAAAGCAAACGCATTATGATCTCATCTTTGGGTGTACAGACGGTCAGGTTATACCTAAAGACGTTTCGCAAAAAGTTGCCCAATATGAACGGATGTGTGTGTGTGTGTACCTATGTGGATTTGAAATATTGCTGGAATAACTGTTGAAACAAACTGTTACTGTTTATTATCGTTACGATTACAAATGTTGAGAATTTAACTCCTCTTTCCACGTGTAATATACGAAAACGCAGTACGGTATATACGTGCATTATATATACTGTAATTAGCGCTGCGTTATATTATTTATTGAATAAATGTCACTGAAAAAATATGTCCATGGCGTTTTGCGATTTGTATTACAATATTGTCCAGTCTGCCGACACTCATATAAAGAATATCTATATCTCTGGTTACCCAAAAGTCAGAACGCATAGGGTTATATTTATTTTAACAAATCACAACTTACTTGATTTTAACAAATGCCCATACTGACTCTTCGTGTTTAGTCCATTTCTCTCTCAACATTTTGAATGGAATCTGAAAAGCAGGAATGCAAATACATATTAATAATAGATATAATATTAACTTTAAGAATAAACAATATTTTTTTAAACCAATGTTAATACATTAAATAACACGACGTGTCCTGACTTTTGGGCAAACCTGTATAATATATAAAAAGACAACGATCCCCCCTATAGCCTAAACAAACTGTTGGGGCAAGTGCTGTTAGTGAGCACCTATCAAGGCCAGCACGGCGCGCTAGGGAGTGGATAGCCACCACCACGCCCGGCCGCCTTTGTCTCCCCAGTGCCGATAAATTGACAACACTACACCAAGTACTCATTTGAGGCTGGGTCGACGTAGGTGAGGCACAGAAACGGTTTAAATATTCTCCAGTTATTGGTCATGAACGGGAATCGAAGGGTTCGATGCGCAATGAAATACGCAATACACGTATACACACACACACACACATTTAATATGATTGTATACACATAATACACGTAACTTTACGTGTGTGCATTTACTGTATATGTATGTATACATATGTGTTTCTACAGGTTGTGTGTGTATGTATGTTCATGTGTATGCAAACTTAGACATTCGTGTATATGTATCCATGCATGCGTGCGTGTCTATACCCGTACATATATTTCTAAGTGTTACACTTTATATCAATATGTGAATGTGTGCGTGTAAACGCTTTCCTATATATTGAATACAAATTAAAAAAAACTAATATACAGCCCCACGTCAAATCCACTGCTGGATGAAGGCCTCTTCCTTCCCAGACCTTGGCCCGTCATTGGGGTTGTTTGACCATACTTCACCACGCTGGTCAGCAGTGTGGGTCGATGAAGGTGGCTCTGTCCATGACCAGTTCAGATGTCACTTGCCACTGATGTTAGCCGTGGCCGAGGATGGAACTCAAACAGCCCCGCCCGCTCAGACGCGATTGCAGAGTGCGCTAACCACTCCACCACCGCTCCCCAAAACAGTCTCTCTGCGTGTCGACAGTACATGGGGAGCGGTGGCAGTGCGGTTAGCACGCTCCGCTACGACCTGTAACAGATTGTCGGGGTAAGGGCTCTTGTTAGCGAACACTTACGAAGGCCGGGATGGCACACGTAGGGGCGGATGGCCACCACCACGTCCGGCCGCCTTTGTCTTCCCAGTGGCGATGTTTACACCAGAGTTTTTATTCAAGGTTGAGTCGACCTAGGAGAGGCCAAGGACCGGTTAAATATTCGCCATTCTTAATTGGTCGTAGGCGAGATGGAGCTCGGGTCGCCGGGTTCGTAGCGCAGAACAGTGCTAACCACTGCGCCACCGCTCGCCACACGTACACAACACATTTGACATTCTCTGTTGGGGAAATCTGTTATGATTGTGCTCGCTAACACACAAACACACGCACGAACGTATGCACACGCATACATACAAAGATAAAGGTCAACAGTGTAGCCTTATAGACTGTTGGGGCAAGTGCTGTCACACCGAGCCCCGAATAATGTGAGGCACGGCGCACGAGATCGACAATGGTTTGACTCAACACTACCACCCCGGCCGCCTTTGTCTCCCCACTGCTGACGTGTAAACATCGAAGCAGCTACAGACCGAGGGGTCGGCAACCTGGGGCTCCGGATCCGAAGTGCGGCTCTTGAAGGAGCTGCTTCGTCGCGTTGATTATTAAGGAAGCGACGTCTCGTACTCGCCGCGGTGCATTGCGGCTCTTGACACTTTGAGTTGGTTTGACCGAATTCTAAAAAAAAAATTGCCTCTTCTTGTTATTTTGGTTGCCGAGCCCTGAGCTACGCGGTACTAATTTGAGGCCGAGTAAACCTAGGGGAGCAATCGCAGCACATGTTATCCGTGACCGGGAATTGAACTCACAAGCACGCACACTGCAGGCGAATCACTGGCATAGGCATCAGAACATCAGCGCATTGTGAGGTCATTGTGATTATTTCTTTCGAACTGTTCCGTTTGTTGTCCTTTCCCGTCCCCGCACCTCCGATTAGCACGGTTGGCTACGTACGGTGCGAAAGAAGTTCAGCACACACACACGTACGTGATGAGCTCTGCTACTCGTGAAGAGTCAATGACGGGTGAACAAAGAGGAGGTCGATTGGCCTCCACGAAGGGAGCTTATTCCGGGGGTGGTGTGGGAAGAACGACGCCGGGCCGCGTGTCTCCCCAACGCTGATGTCGACGTACCAGCTACTCATTGAAGGCTGAGTCGACCTAGGGGAGAGCCCAGGAACTGATGTTGGCCGTGAGCGGGGCCTGAACCCGAGGCACACGAGCACGCGCATGCATGAAACAGCCATAGTCGCCACTCGGTAGCGGTGACGTCTGCACCACGGCGCTTGTGCCAGGCTACGTGCACCTGGAGGCCACGCGAAGTGTCGAGGGCTCGCTGGTAGCAGGTCACGGGACAGACCCAGGTGCAATGGGTTGACAGAAATGAACTGGCAGATGCACCACCTGTGCCCCCGACTGTGCGCGAAAATGATGTATTTTAGAAGCCAGCCGCTCCGATCGTTGTTGTGAGCGTCGCTCCTCTGCTCTCCGCTGACTGCCTCCAATCACCGATCCTGACACCGCTGGTACCCAGCCATCGGCAAGTCCACTCAGCTCCACATCACCCTATAGCGCATCAGCTCCATCAATTCTCCAGCCCGTACCCCGCATCCC